GATGAGGTGGCCCTACGTCATCAGTTGGTGGCATGGCACGTGCCGTGTTTCCATCTTGGCGGTGCCATCTTGCCCAGATAAACAAGCCTTCCTCGCATAGAGAAAAGATTTTGAAGCTTGGCGAGCGAATTCTTGATGTCAACACTTGGCGATAGTTTGAAAGTCTTTTTTTTCGTGGTTGAGTTATGAGGCTAACCAGGAGACGGACCGAACGGGCGTTGGTTGAGTTAGTGGACTAGCTGATCACGAGTCTAAGCCAGCTTCAGCATCAGCATCCATGCTGTGTGATCCAGCTTAGCTCCAGGTACAGTTCAACGGCCATCGATGCATAATTCCTCAGGAAGAGTGAGATTTTGATTGGTTCTGGGAAAAACGAAAACCAGAATGCAACAGACAGACTGACACCACCAACACGTCAGTGCAGGAGAGAAATCAAGCTTGCTCAACTTTACAAGAGGCGGGGCATCGAGATCGCCTGTGGGAACCCGCTCGGAGAATTGAGTAATTCGACAATGATCATCATTGATCTGGTTGGTCGAATTTCCAGTTTCATCATAAGGACTAAGCAAGTTTCTCTTCTCGATCTGAAGCAAAGATCGATAGACTCAGTTGCTCTTTGCGGAGTGGTAACACAAACTAACAATGCTCGGACTGCTCTTAGCATGTAGCATAATGCTATGTAGAGCTACCATATCGAAAAGACTAACTTGACTTGGAAGGAGTTTGATGGTCACAGTTGCAGGCTAAAACTACCTAATCGTTGATATCCTCTCGAGACATCCCCTTCCGGCTCCTGGCCGTCACCTCTCCATCCAAACCGGCCCCACTCCTCCGAAGCGGAGTCGGACCCCGACCAGAGCGGCGGCCGTTTCGGGGCTGAGGGAGTCGAGGGTTTCGTGTGACGGCAAGGGTCTAGTTACAGCCCAATCCGGCCCGTCTATGCGGCTACACTCGAGAAGAGACAAAGCTATGTTTTCTAAATCCTTCGTCTTAATCCTCAGCGCGTATACCACGAGTCATACGATCGCTTCTCCTTTTATCACATCGAGTGTTATCTAGTCACACGCAGTGTGAAGGAAAAGAAAGCTGAAAAATCCATCACATGATCACATCCTTCTGTCCTTAGTGATAGCTTGGGTTGGATTGGATTGGATTGCCAAACCAGGGGTCAACAGTTGAGACGCTCGGTTCAATGCGACGACGACGAGAGCGGTCTGGCAGCCCATCCCATTGTGGATCAACCAACGGGGACAGCCTGCGACGGTGACAAGAGACCATGGCCTAGCAGATTATGAGTCTAATGTGAGGGAGACGAGAGATGTGCGGCATGGATGGACGCTATTGATCGGATGACAGTCATTCGATTCCTCTTGGAATCGCTACACGATGGGTTTCTTGGAATTGATGCGATGCACACTCATCTTGGCTGTGATGAGTTGCCGCCATGCTGACAGTCACTCTCTAGTGGCTGGGCTCTAACTAGATTTAATTACCTTGCTTCTTAGATAGCGTAGGGCAGAACAACCAACAACACAAATCGAGTTTCCAGCTCGTTGGGCCAACATGGTGACGGCAATCCGGTTCAACTTGCAGATCATGCCCGTACCTCTCCCAAGGAACCGGTACCGGTAACCTCTTTCTATCCAACATCGCCAGGTTGAGGAAGAGAAAACTCGGTAACAGGTCACAGAGGGACTCGGTTAGCCAGCTTCAGCAGCCCAAGCGTGTAACTAGCGCCGTCACAGTGCATCTTGCCAAGCCCTATGCAGACGGGAGCAGGGGTCGACCAAACCCAGTCGGGGGGAGGCTGGCAGGGAGACGGAGGCTCGCCGTTGGCTGCGTCTCGGGTCTCTAAGCGCCCGGGGACGAAGCCAGGGCAATCACAGGTCCAGGGGTTCGACTCCAGGGCTCTTCAGTGGCTGGACTGCTCCTCAGATCGAGTGTTCCAAATATACTCGGCCAGTCAGAGGGCGCAGAGGAAGGATGCCCAGGCCTCTAATAGGCGCCCGCGATGCGATATGCAACCAATTCTTTTGTGCCATCCCATGGATGAGGGTGGATGGGGCTGCTGCTCCCGCCTCGTGGAATCCCATGATGGGTTGGCACACATGGTTTATGGACCGATCTTAATGATGAGGACAAAAACAGTTTGGGTCCCCAATTTCTTCCTCTTTGATCTTTTCCTATCCGAATAATCCCTCCTCTCCTCTCTAGAGGTCTGTCCCTTTGACGCTCTACTGCGACAGTCCAAAACTCCACACTCGCCGCCCCGCGAAACACCACCACATCGTCAAAGCGCCCTCTCACACCCGGCGTCTCAAACTCAACTCGACGAAACCCGCTACGATTTGGATCTTTGTACTGGACCCCTTCTCTGACGTTTCAACTCTCCCTCAACAAACCGTTTACCAGGGCACTTCTCGGCATTCCCCTTTCCCGTACAGCCTAATACCGTCTCGCAAAGGGAAAAAAAAACGACGCCGGTGATTGGAAAGACTGCGCTATCGAGAGAGCCAGAGTCGCACCAGAATCCGGATCGCGCCTCTTCCTTTTCCGACTCGACTCCTTGCTCTGTCGATCTTGGCCGGCCCCCCCGAATATCCTCGTCCCTTGGACTAGGGCCGCCTTCTCTGGCCTCGTTTATCAACTTGGTTCTTCCCCCGGATTCTTGTTGTTCTCATCTCTTCCTCCGCCGTCTCGCTGTCGTCGACTCCTCGCCTCCCCTCGAGTCCACAGGATCATTCCCTTCGTCGGCCGCTCAGCCATTACTTTCGCTTCCATTCGCTGCTGGATCAGTCTAAACTTTCTTTTTATTAATTCCTTTCGATCGTTGGTTTCGGTTTCGTTATCCTCAGCAGGGTTGACGTGGATGTAATTGGGATTGTGTCAAACCAACTCGGCATCACAAGACGGTTTATCTGATCAGTCGCTTGGAAGTTTGCTGAAGCATTACTTTGCTTCGCCTCTTTGGCACTCTCTGAGTCTTGTCGCCGGTCGACTTGGACTCTCTTAACCTCTCAACCTCTCACAACCCGACACACCAACCGCCAAGATGGGCGCACAACTCGGCTATGTCGAATTAATACGGAAGCAGTTCACGCCTACGAAGCTGATCTTTCACTTTCTCTTCTGGGGCTTTCACTGGGGCATCTTTGCCTATGGATGGTGAGTTTTGGTCTCTCTACGACTATTTTCATCACTAACTGTCTTCAGGTGGAAGCAGTATGCTGATGCCCGACTTGCGGGTCTCAACACACTCAAGTTCTCAGTCTGGATCTCCCGTGGCGCCGGTCTCGTTCTGAGCGTCGACTGCATGTTGATCCTTCTCCCCGTCTGCAGAACTATTATGCGATGGGTTCGACCCAAGATTCGATTCCTCCCTCTCGACGAGAACCTATGGATGCATCGCCAGCTCGCATACTCCATCCTCTTCTTCACCATCCTCCACACCGGCGCTCACTATGTCAACTTCTACAACGTCGAACTGACCCAGATCCGACCCGTCACCGCCGTTCAGATTCACTATGTCCAAGCTGGTGGTATTACTGGTCATGTCATGCTTCTCTGCATGCTGCTCATGTACACGACCGCCCACGCCCGTATTCGTCAGCAGTCCTTTGAGACTTTCTGGTACACTCACCATCTTTTTATCCCGTTTTTCCTTGGTCTCTACACTCATACCGTGGGATGCTTCGTGCGAGATACTCCCGAGGCCATCTCTCCTTTTGCTGGTGATGAGTTCTGGGCACACTGCATCGGTTACCTGGGATGGCGATGGGAGCTCTGGACCGGCGGTTTCTACCTGATCGAGCGTCTCTGGCGCGAGGTCCGAGCCCGTCGTGAGACCAAGATCACTCGAGTCGTCCGACACCCCTACGATGTGGTTGAGCTTCAGTTCTCCAAGCCTTCGTTCAAGTACAAGGCTGGTCAGTGGCTCTTCATCCAGGTGCCTTCTATCTCCAAGTATCAGTGGCATCCGTTCACCATCACCTCGTGCCCCTTCGACCCCTATGTATCGGTTCACGTCCGTCAGGTTGGAGACTTTACCCGCGAGCTGGGTGATGCTCTTGGTGCTGGTGCCGCGCAGGCCAAGCTCTACGATGATGTCGACCCCATGGGCATGTACGAGGTTGCTCTTCAGAACGGTGACCAGATGCCCGCTCTCCGTATCGACGGACCCTACGGTGCTCCCGCCGAGGACGTCTTTGAGAACGAAATCGCCGTCCTCATCGGTACTGGAATTGGTGTCACCCCCTGGGCCTCCATCCTCAAGAATATTTGGCATCTCCGCAACTCTCCTAACCCTCCCCGCCGACTTCGCCGAGTCGAGTTCATCTGGGTCTGCAAGGACACTGGCTCTTTCGAGTGGTTCCAGACCCTCCTTGCCTCTCTCGAAGAGCAGTCAACTGAGGCCGCTCGCGTTCCCGGTAGCACAGGCGTCGAGTTCCTCAAGATCCACACCTACCTCACCCAGAAGCTCGATATCGACACAGCCCAGAACATTGTGCTCAATAGTGTCGGCGCCCAGACGGATCCCCTGACGGAGCTGCAGTCACGCACCAACTTTGGCCGACCCGACTTTAAGCGCCTGTTTGCCACCATGCGTAACGGTATCCTAGACCGGACGTATATCAACGGCCTTGAGGGTCACATGCGGACGACTGTTGGTGTTTACTTTTGCGGTCCTTCTTCAGCAGGTTAGTTCCCTCTCTTCCTAAACATCTTCACACACAATACTAACCGTATTCAGCTCGTGATATCAAGACGGCTTGCAAGTCTGCTACGGTCAAGGACGTAGAGTTCCGTTTCTGGAAGGAGCACTTTTAAGGTCGAGATTGAATTGAGCTGTATTTCTATTTATGTAATCCCGAGATACCATCACTATAGCATTCTGCCCGCGCAAATGGGTATGTAGATAATGAAACCAGTCACGTCGCCACCGCTGTCCCCCAACCATGCTCCTCATCCCCTTAACTGTATGTCTTCCAAGTAGACTCCAACTATGAACCCCATGGAGACACGGGCTCCTCTCGAGATGGTGGTGTAGTCGTCTTGCTCTTGCGGCTGTTCTTCCTCCTCACCTCAACAGCCTCTGGCACAACATCGGTGGCTGCAGCCTCAGCCTCAGCTGCTTCCTCAGCAGCACGGTCCAGAGCCTGCTCATCCTCTTCATCGTGATATCGATGCTCTTCGTCGACAAACAAGGTGGCATACTCCCCATGTCGTTGCTGTCGTATACGCTCCAGCCAGGGCAGTTCGGGGAAATCTGGTCGGAGCCGGTGGTTGCAGTTGGGGCAGTCGGGTGGGAGTGTTCTCCAGGCGAGCCATTGGACGAGACTATGGATGGCGAGTCCTGTGTAGAAAGCTTCCAGGGCAAGGAGGAGGTGGATGAGACTGGGTCTAGTTAGTATGCTTGCACTAGGAGACGGGTTGGAGCAACCTACAAATTGACGAGCAGAGGAATAGTCGCATAGGCAGCCAGCATACTCAGCGAAGCTGAATCACCCTTTGAGATCCATGTAAAGACCAAAACCACCATAAAGGCAGCAGAGAGTATCACGTCGCAAACAAAGACCAGCACAGGGTGCGACAGCTTCAGAGCAAGTCCAGCATCATCATCGCGTCGACGAAGCAGAAACACACCGCCACTAGCAGAAAACGCAAGAGGAACGAGGCCGACCGCGGGAACGGGGTTGTGCGAGAGGATGCCGTGGGTCAGGCAGAGGGGAAACGCGGGGAGAAATGAGGCGATGGTGATGAGACGGAACGTCCTGTGCGAGCGTGGCGGCTGGTGGTGAGCCACCGTCGAGTCGGCCTCTGAGGGGGCGGTGCTGGGCATTTTTTGTCTCTGTATGTGCAGTCAGAGTTGAGGTCGAGGAGCTGGCTTGTACGGGGTTTAACAGAGGGTCATGTTGCGCGAACGCGGTGGCTGGTGTGAGGCATTCGTGATCAGACCCTGGTTAGTTGGGCGGTTACATATCATCATGGGTGGTCTGACCAATGGTGAAGCCTTCGGTTGTTTGGGGTTCTGACTGATTCGGTAGAGGAGCAAATGAGATGATTTCTAGGATAGATATCCATCATTTCAACTCTTTTTCCTGTCAACCTCATCCTACCTTGATCTTTTGCATCTATTCATCCTCATGAGCACGGTGATGCTTCAGGGTCCTCGGTGAGAGATTGGCCCGACCACACGTGGGGTAACGCAGGGTCCTTGTTCGCCGGGGTCAACGAGATAAGCTTCATCAGACGTTGTGCTCCCATCGACGAGAATGATGTTTCGGGAGAAAAGATATTGGACGTGGTAAGTGAAGAGTGAAGATGCATATATCCGTCTCGCTGCCGCGCCTAGCTCCCATTTGGGGAAGTTGTCTCAGTTGCTAGTTGCACTGGGAGTTTGGCCAACACTGGTTAGCTGCCCTGAGGCAATTTGCAATGCTTCATCTTGGTTTAGCCGGTATCGCCATCTGTGATGGTAGAAGGAGAAACGCCAACATCTCACGCGTGCCGAGGTGCTCTAGATATTGATGCATCCCGGAGTCTAGGAACACGCCGAAGTCCCGGTGTCAAGCGATGGGAGCGCCCGATAACCAACTCAAGATCCATTTCTATGCAGTTGCAATGTGCGGAGAAGTACGCCCATCACAGTAAATCAACCGTCCTCATTGGTCTCGCCCCTTGGACAGACTTGAAACTCCACAATAGATTCAATCTCACAGGCTCACGAGAACGGATCACCTTTTCTTTTCTTCTTTGCAAGCCCGCTAGTCCAGGTCGAAATCCTAGCTGCCTAGATGTATCCCGCTATCCAAGCCAGGAAACTCCGCATCCCATCCCATTCATTCCATTGATGAGGCATGACCATGCAGCAATCGTGCACCTCATCTCTCAGTAAACTCATAAAAGCACCAGACGCCATCTTCGTAATCGGACATCGGTGTGCATTAAACCGAGATGGCGAGTTTAACCGGGCGGATCTCTTGGTGGTGAGGATAGTGCTCAACAGGAACACAAAAAGTCTGGAGCCCCTAGAGAGGAATCCAAAGCCAGCCCAGGTCAGGTCGACTCCTATCAAACGCCGACTTCGCTACGTCATGATACTTGTGCTGTAATTGTTTGCCGCTCTAGCACCTGAATCGTACTTTTTTTTTTCTCCCACCGCAAAACAACGGTACCGCGTTATCAACCTCGACAAAAAAAAAAAGAAACGCCATCCTCTTCTCCAATTTCTTCTCTTGATACCTACCGTTGTTTCCTTTCCTCCGCGAAGTTGGGGTATTTCCCGCCTGACTACCTTCCTGCAGCAGCCTCACTTCCTCTCGCCAATCGTCGCATAGACGCGTCTCTCGCCCAACGTTGTGGCGTACATCAACCAAAAGGCTCGGAGTTGGGGAATCTTCGAGGCGCAACCTGCTGGTCTCTTTTTCTCTCCCAAAGCCAAAGCGAAAGGATTTTGAGTGAATTTTAAACTTTGGCCAAGATCCAAAGCATATCCATTCTTCGTTCCTCGATTCGCCCAGAAAAGTCAAATCCACCGTCGCAATGGCTTCTTTCATTCGTTGGTACGTCTTCTAGAATGCTTCACTCAGGCACGTCCCATCTGTCACAACGTCCGTGCTAACCCTGGATCGCTCAGGTACAACGCCCGGCTGGCTGCTCGCCCTCTGCTCACCCAGAGCGTCACCACGGCGGTGCTCTTTGCTACTGGTGATATCACGGCTCAGCAGCTCGTTGAGAAGAAGGGCGTGGAGAAGCATGACTTGGTTCGAACAGGTCGCATGGCCCTGTACGGTGGCTGTGAGTATCTCCAAGTAGTCCACTCAGTTCGAATCACTAATTAACTCTTGACAGTCGTCTTTGGCCCCGTTGCGACAACCTGGTTTGGTTTCCTCGCTCGCAACGTCAACGCGCGCAACAGAAAGGTTGAAACTCTCGCCCGGGTGGCTTGCGATCAACTCGCCTTTGCACCCGTCATGATCGGCGTCTTCCTTGGCAGCATGGCCACCATGGAAGGAAACGACCCCAAGAAGCGAATCGAGACCACCTGGTGGCCTGCGCTCAAGGCTAACTGGATGCTCTGGCCTTTCGTCCAGGTCATCAACTTCTCCTTCATCCCCCTCCAGCACCGAGTCTTCTTTGCCAACATCGTGTCGATCGGTTGGAACTCCTACCTGAGCTGGATCAACAACCGGTAATCGCCATATCGGATTATTCGAAAGCATCTTTGCTGTTTACTTTGAAACATAGACATAGAAGTGTTATGTTCGCGTCAGGTTCTCACAAGATCGCATCTGTTTCGGTTGATTTCGGGATAAAAGGCCACCAGGAAAGGATAGGAAGGGAAAGGAAAGAAAGGAAGAGCGAGCATCGCATCTTGAAGACTCAGACCATGTTTCTGATAGACCAAATTCATCATTTTACAGTAAGCAAACAATTCAAAGTCCACTAGTTGGATCTACCATGTCTCGTCCGACTTATCTTACGAGTGCGGGATGAGCCGCTAAGCCTCATGGCGCAACGACGATATCTCTCCTCATGATGTGCTAAGCCATTGCGGCAACAATAACATTAATGCACTCATGGAATCATGCCAAAGTGACCAAAATAGGATCACAGAGGCCAACTCAACGGCCATTAGCTCCTCTCCCGCCTTTTTGAGTCACTTTATTGCCTTGCTTCAGTTCAGCTGCGGAGAAGCCCCGTGATCAATCAAGGTGCAGCGGTTGGGAGACCTCAGTTACCAGTCCCGTTATCGCTTGCTGCCTTAGGCCACAAACAGTTTAGCGCCACTCCCCATCCACTCACGTCCACTCACCCATCACAACGAGCGCAGCCTTTTCCGAGCGGCCAAATCCGGGTTTTGAAGATACAACCGACACCATCAGGAAGTCGTCACGACCTCCAAAACACCCTCTCTCCTCCATCGACGACCTCTGCGGACTGCCTGCGCCGCGGTAACAGCCATGTTGCCCTCCTCGGTGCGGCGTGTCGCCTCCTCCGCCATCTCCTCCGCCCCTCAGACCGGCGTCATCAGTGCCCTCGCCTCCTCGGCTCCTAAGGCCATCCCCGTCTTTGTTCGCAACCAGCAGCGACGATGCTCCTCCTCCAAGCCCTCGAGATCCGATAACGGCTCCAGCGAAATCTCGGCCGGTCAGTCGGTCCCTGCCTCGACCGCGAGCCCCAAGTCTGGTACCGAGAAGCGGAAACGCAAGAGCAGCAAGGATGCCTCTGAGCGAGCGGCTTCTGTCAAGAAGTTGCCCAGCGTCCCTAACACGCACCACATGTCGCAAGAAGGTAGGTCGTCAGGTGTCTCAATGGCGGATTTTCGTATGGCATTTGCTGACTATTGTCCAGCTCTCGGTCTATCAAGTTTCTTCTCGCTACATAGGCCCATCTCTGTCACACAAACGATGCCCCGAGCTGTGACTGATGAGCACTTTGCTTCTATTTTCACTTCCCGAACCAGGAACAACAAGATGTCCGACACCATGTCGACTCTTTCCGACACTATCGACCAGCTGGAAGGTCCCATGGCCCAGATGACCATCGGACAGGAGGGACAGGATTCCATGCACAAGGTTGATATCAAGAATGCCGATGGCAGCGAGTCGAGCATGTACCTCCAGATCGACACCATGTCGGGCGAGTTCCTTCCCTTCCGACCGCCGCCACTGCCCCAACCGCAGTCCGCTGCCGAGACGGACGGTGCCGTCGCCGAGGCTGAGGCCGCCGAGGAGGTTCCCCAGCACCGCGTCTACAAGGCTCTCTTCACCATTGAGGAGTCAACCGACCCCGATGGCCAGATCCGTATCATGGCCCACAGCCCCCGAATTATGCAAGACGCCCAACCCCGGAGCTTCCTCGAGCGACTCGCCCTCCGCCAGCTCAAGTTTGACGAGGCCCAGGGCCGCCGCGACATGCACGCCATCAGTGTCAAGCGGCAACGAAAACTGAAGATGAAGAAGAAGAAGTACAAGAAGCTCATGAAGCGGACGCGAGTCCTGCGCCGCAAGTTGGACCGAACTTAGAGGACTGTGTTTTTATGCTCCCCCACCCCTTGCTCGACTGCCATTTCCTTTTCTCTCACGCACACACATGAGCATTCGAAGGGGTTATTCATTCGTGGTGTCTGGGCATGGAAGGTGATGAATTGTCTTTGTGGAACTGTGGCAGTGCGCTGTGAGGCTTTTCATCTTACTATAGACTCGCGCAGGTAACAATCATCATTGCAAATGAGCTGAGCCGTTTCCACATGGTGACTGCAGTCTCCCAGACAAGACGATACTGTATAACTAGCTGTAAAATTCACTCTCTTTCTTCTGTTCAAATTTGATCCTCGTGATATTTCCAGAAGTCCTTGACTGATTTGATCAAGTCAGTGCGATCAAGAACCATGGTTTTTATGATCTCCTAGGAGTATACAAGGGGGAAATTTTGAATAGCACAACTCTTAGATTCGATTTCAAAGTCAAATACAAAACTACGGCCAAAGCCAATCATCGGCGTTGCGAATGTGGTTGAAATTCAATAGTCCACCGAGGTGAGCTACAGGTGAGCACTCAACCAAGTCGCCCCGTCGGTGAGACCCCCACTTTGAGATTCTCACCGTGTTCACCGCCCGGCAGAAAGCTCCCGACCGCCAAAATTTTGGATTTTTGACCCAGTCCCACCTCTAGACGAGATCGCATATGCGCCAGCGTATTTTCAAAGCGATTGGCCTGTGGAAAATCTGCAACCATGGCGCGCAAAGTTGTGTAAGTTGAAGTTCTGTTGAGCCTGCTAATCATATATGCTAACAGTGAGAATATAGAGACTCGCGCATCCAGGCGCTCATCAAAAATGGAGTGCAAGAGAAGAAGAGAAGCTTCTTCGTGGTGGTCGGAGACAAGTCCAAGGACATTATCGTGAACCTGCACTATATCATGGCCCAGGCATCGCAGGCTACGCCGAATCAGAACAATTCGGTCCTTTGGGCGTACAAGCACAAGCTCCTAGGCTTTACCAGGTATGCTCCCATGGTCCCTCAACCCAATGCGACGAACTAACGCGAAGATGACAGTCACCGGAAGAAGCGCGAGACAAAGATCAAGAAGGAGATCAAGCGAGGCATCCGCGAGGCGAACCAGGAGGACCCCTTCGAGCTGTTTGTGTCGCTGCACAACATCCGATATACCTACTACAAGGAGACGGACAAGATCCTGGGTCAGACCTTTGGCATGTGCATTCTGCAAGATTTTGAGGCCATCACACCCAACACCCTTGCGCGAACGATCGAGACTGTCGAGGGTGGTGGTATGGTTATTCTGCTGCTTAAGGGAATGAACAGCTTGAAGCAGCTCTACAACCTGTCCATGGACGTCCACTCGCGGTACAGGACAGAGGCACACGACGATGTGGTTGCGCGATTCAACGAGCGCTTCATCCTTTCGCTGGGTGGTTGCAACTCGTGTCTGGTCATCGACGATGAGATGAACGTGCTTCCCATCTCGGGAGGCAAGGGCGTGAAGGCTCTTCCTCCTGCTGACCTGGACCAGCCCAAGTCCGAGTCGCAGGTCGAGCTGCAGGCCGTAAAGGAGCAGAATGAGGACCGACAGCCTGTGGGATCTCTCATCTCCCTTGCCAGGACCCTCGACCAGGCCAAGGCCCTCATCACTTTCACAGATGCGATCGCCGAGAAGACGCTGCGAAGCACTGTTGCCCTGACTGCGGCTCGAGGTCGCGGAAAGTCTGCTGCTCTCGGTGTTGCTGTCGCGGCCGCTGTCGCTTACGGATACAGCAACATCTTTATTACCTCTCCCTCACCCGAGAACTTGAAGACCCTCTTCGAGTTTGTTTTCAAGGGTTTCGACGCTTTGGGATACGCTGACCACGCCGACTACTCCATTATCCAGAGCACCAACCCCGATTTCAACAAGGCCATTGTTCGAGTCAACATCCACCGACAACACCGACAGACGATCCAGTACATCCGACCTCAGGACGCCCACGTGCTAGGACAGGCTGAGCTTGTGGTGATCGATGAGGCTGCTGCTATCCCCCTGCCGCTTGTGCGGAAGCTGATGGGTCCTTACCTTGTGTTTATGGCCTCCACCATCAATGGTTACGAAGGAACTGGTCGATCTCTGTCTCTGAAGCTGATCAAGCAGCTCAGAGAACAGTCACGCTCCGCTTCTTCGACTGGCGAGGGTACGGAGCTTGCGGATCGCTCAACTGGCAGGGCCTCAAAGGAGGAGTTCCAGGCTGGCCGAAAGTTGCGAGAAATCACCCTTTCTGAGCCTATCCGATACGCCCAAGGAGATGCCGTCGAGAAGTGGCTCAACACCCTGCTTTGCCTCGATGCTACCTTGCCCAAGGCTAAGTCCAACATCAACGGCTGCCCGGATCCTACACAATGTCAGCTTCTGAACGTCAACCGAGATACCCTGTTTTCTTTCCATCCCGTGTCCGAGAAGTTCCTGCAGCAGATGGTTGCTCTGTACGTTGCCAGTCATTACAAGAACTCGCCAGATGACCTACAGCTCATGAGTGATGCACCCGCCCATGAGTTGTTTGTTCTTGTTCCCCCCGTCTCCGAAGAGAGCACAAGATTGCCAGAGCCTCTCTGCGTAATCCAAGTGTCTCTTGAAGGAAAGATTAGCAGACAGAGTGTTCTCAACAGTCTGAGCCGAGGGCAACGGCCAAACGGTGACCTTATCCCCTGGTTGGTCAGCCAGCAGTTCCAAGATGAGGACTTTGCTTCCCTGTCTGGTGCTCGAGTTGTTCGTATTGCCACGAACCCCGAGTATGTCTCTATGGGATACGGCACCAAGGCACTGGAGCTCCTCACCGATTATTATGAAGGCCGGTTCGCCAACCTGTCTGAGGACGAGGACCAGGTCATGGACGATGCCATGACTCGAGTTGCTGATGCGGATCTGGCCAATGCATCTCTCCTTGACGACGACATCAAAGTAAGGGATATTAACAAGATGCCTCCTCTGTTCTCCAAGCTTTCGGAGAAGAAGCCTGAGAGACTTGACTACATCGGTGTCAGTTACGGCTTGACACCTCCTCTACACAAGTTCTGGAAGCGGGCATCTTTCTCTCCCGTGTACCTCCGCCAGACCGCCAACGATCTTACTGGAGAGCACACTTGCGTTATGTTGCGACCACTTGAGAACAGTGATGACCGCAGCTGGCTCGGAGCCTTCTCTCGGGATTTCCACAAGCGATTCCTGTCTCTGCTCTCGTACCAGTTCGGTACGTTCCCTGCCATCAGTGCTCTCAGCATTGACGAGTCTGCCAATGCTGGTGCTAAGCTGGACTCGACCGAGATCCAGCCTTTGACCAAGGTGGAGCTCGACAGGCTCTTGAGTCCTTTCGATCTGAAGCGACTTGAGTCGTACGCCAACAACATGCTCGATTATCATGTTGTGCTGGATCTGATCCCGACCATCGCCAACCTCTACTTCACTGGCCGCCTCAAGTCCGACATCAAGTTGACGGGTGTCCAGCAGTGCATTCTGCTCGCTATCGGCCTGCAGCACAAGGATGTCGATGTTGTGTCTCAAGAGCTCTCCCTGCCTTCGTCTCAACTCCTTGCCATGTTCATCAAGATCCTGCGCAAGGTGACGGGACACTTCGCAACTCTTGTCTCTGAAGCCGTCGATGCAGAGCTCCCCAAGGCCGAGCGCCTGGGTGTGACTCGTGAGAATGCCAGCGGAGCTCACGATGACGAGATTGTGGATGACCGATTCGTTCCCTTGGCTACCACGCTCGACGATGAGCTGGAGGAGGGTGGTGACGAGGCATTGAGGGAGCTCAAGAAGAAGCAAAGAGAGCTCATTGACTCTTTGCCCCTTGACCAGTGAGTTCTCCTTACCAGTTAACAAAGGAACGTTGATAACTAACAATTCATAGATACGAGATCGACGGCGACGCTCCGGCGTGGGAAGAGGCGGAAAAGCAGGTTCTGAGCGCGACCAAGCAGGGCAAATCAAACCCCGTGGTCAGCGTGAAGGCGGCCAAGCAGAAGCGCAAGGTCGGGCAGACGGCGAGCGAGGTGTACGAGGAGGCATTTGGCGATAAGAGGAAAAAGGTCAAGAAGTCGAAAAAGTCTGCGTGATTGGGTTGAGTTGATTTTATCCATGGAAAGGCGTTCTTTTGCTCGAATATAGAGGGGATGTGTGTTAATCGAGAAAGTGTTTATTGAATATATTACAATTCGATATCCATCCAACGCGATACTGCCCCTTTCCACTGCAGCCAGGCATATTTTAAACGTGAGATAAACTCCAGTGCACCTCATTATTAGGAACTCCTTAATTAAGTATGTTTTGCTAGCATCTAGCATATTAGGGCCCGAGTTTAGCAAAATCTCCCCCTCTAACTTCTAGTTGCGTACTCATATGTGAAAACCCCTTTCTTGCCAGACACTACCCAAACGGGGACAGGAAGTGAATCATAGTCACTCCAACGAGGGGATGAATCACAGTCGTTTAGATTCGCCTATGTATATCATCTCGATCTTCAATTTCTCTTCTTTCCTTTCCTCCTTTCCTCTTCACCTTTCATCCACTTCACCACCTCCACTCCTTTACCTCACTCCCTCAACTCCAACCTCACCCCCCTCTTCTCACTTCAACTTTCAAAGACACCATCGACAATGAGCGACTCGAAGCACCCGACTTTGATTGGCAAAGAGCTACGCAACCAGCTCGAAAGCCATTTCGATGATTTGGTCAAGTCTGGGAAGGTCCAGCTCCCCGCTGGCACCCGCATTTGTTTCGACCTCGAAGGGATTCCCAAGCTGGTGGACGTGCCATATCCCGCCATTTCGAAGCAGAGAATCACTCGAATCCTTGACCACATCTCCAGCAATCTTTTTGACCGATCGGCTGAGTGGGCAATCCTATTTTCGGAGCTTAACCACCTCAGAAACGACGAAGCAGCGCGCGCCAGATTCACTCACCAGCAAATCTGGAAGAAGATCCGGGGTACCCAAGCTGACGTCGAGGATGATTGGAGGGCACTGGTGAGCGAGGGTCAAGATATGAGGGGAAACCCTGAGATCGTTGCGGAAGTCAAAAGCAGTGTCTGGTTACCTCATCTTGTCATCCGACTGCTTGGTGAGCCGACTGGACGCGATCACGACGAAGATGAAGGCATGGACTTGATGATCAAATTGGAAAGAGACCACCATGGTATTTTTCTTCTCGTCAATTTCATGTGCGAACTCTATGACCGTGTCAGGGCCAACCCATCTCACCAACATCGCCTTGCAGAGCTCGGCGCACAGTGTTGGGACACATTGGCGGCAGTGTTTGCGTCCAAGGACCCTGAAAATGACATGGACCATGAAGTGTTTCAGTCTCTGAAAGAGAGAGTCGAAGCAATTTCCCATGGCAACCGAGAAGCCTCACCTGAAGTTGAGGTCGAGGACAAAGTTGAGGATGAGACTGAAGACGAGACTGAAGGCGGCACCGAAAACTAAGCTTTTGACCAACCACGAAAGGATATGACGGCGGCGGGTTGAGGTTCATATTGTGGTGACGACGCAGGCCATGGGTGGTTGGAAGGGAAAGGACATTACTCACTGGGCTGTTTTTGGGGTCAAATTTCAAGGTCAATGGCGGCGTCTGGGGACCACCAGGGCGACCATGGCGACCACGCCGACTACGACGGCCACGCCGACTACGACGACTACGATAACTACAACGACTATGATGATTATGATGACTACGGCGGCGACGACTACAACGGCGGCGACAACCACGGCGGCGACCACGGCGACGGCGGGCTGATGGGTAGGCATGGGTGTCATGATTTGAGCGTCAGGGCCGGCAGGTACACGAATAGTTTTGGGCTCTAAACAAAATGCGTTTTCTAAAAAAATGTGCTGAAATTACAAGTAAAGAAGTAAGAACACATATCTCTGTTTTGTTAACATGACGAGAACATATCTACACAGAGTCTCTGCCCCAGAACAGACTCCCCAGCTGCGCCATACTTAAACACTCTGCTCCTCTAGAAGTCAGGGGCTTTAAAACAAAAAAGACACTCAAGACGCCGTTGATTTGACTTCCCAGTACGTCAATTTCTCTTCCGTCGAGACTCACGTTGGGGAGTCAGCTGCCCCCTTCTTTCTTAGCATATCCGTCGACCATACCGTCTTTCAGCCAAACAAACACTCGGCGACTCAATTACAACATGTCGTCGTCAAACCCCCCGACGGGTCCCATTGATTCTGACATTTATTCTCAAAATCCCCTCAGCTCTCGTTTAGATGAGCTCGTCCGCTCTGGTGCTTTGACGGTCAGTCAGGGTCACCAGCTCACGCTTGACGAAGACGGCCTTCCCATTGTAATTGGCGTCGAGCCAAAGAGAAAGGTCAATCAAAATCCAGAGCAGCAGAGATTAGATAACATCATTCAGTTCCTCGAATCGCCCGTCGCCCCCCAGTCTGTCGACTGGATCAGAGCCCGAAGGGCCCTTTGCAAGCTGAGGAATCAGGGTGTTTCCCGCGAAGGTGATTCCGACATTATGGCGTGTCATATAGCCGATGAGGCCCATAGATTCACAATTCAACGGCTCGATTGCCTAGAGAATCTTCTCGAGCTTCTCGAGGCCAAGAAATTAGACGCCGATCGACTGAGGCAGATGCATGAAGTGGTTCGCTATTTCCCAGAGCACGCATGCCGTCTAGTCGGCATCTCCACCCCTAATGATCTAGACGAGGATGCATGGGATGATTATCTGGCAGAGATAGTTCTAGAAAGGAACATTACAGCATACCGATGCATCAATGACGCCTGGGTAGCGCTCCGTGACGGCCAACAACGAGGCTTCCTAGGATCGTCGACCGAGCCTGAGCGACACCTCCGTCGCTTTCTCGACCTTGATGTGATCAAGACGCTCAAGAAATGGATGGAACACGACGTTTTTGTGATCCTGGAGCGGAAGGTTATTACAACTCGTCGATTGCGACAGCCATAGACCTAACCCAATATTGTCTTTGTCCGATGCCCTCAGTCACTTTAATCATAGCCATTCATTAGACTAGTTTACCTTGATAAGGAAAGTTAAACTGTAAATCAATATATTTATTACCTATACCAGGCTCCAGGGGGCTATGTCCTTGTCGGCTTGCTAGCACAACATACCATAACCCCTTTCAAAACCCCATGTCCTCTATCAATCTACAATTTGACCGACAAAGGAATTCAATTAGGAAGAATTAAATGATACATTTTGTAGTGCACAGTGAAGTCACCGTCAGTCAGCTTCACCTAACACTAGTGTCCAGCGTTCACCCCTGGCTAGATATCAATGAATCACTGCCTCTGGATTCACTCCTTCCACCCAGTTCTCCTCTCTTCACTCCTTTCTCTCTCTCATTTTTAAATTCAACCTTCTCATCTATCTCTCTTCCTCTCTTTTCTTTTCTCCCACCAAAGCCAGGCTTTCCTCTCCCCCAACACGAGGCTGGACCAACCTCAGCGCAGATTTACTTCCTCTGCCTTCCAGATATCCCCAACTCCTGACCAGAGCACCCATTTCTCACCTCGACGATATTTTTACCGTCTCCTATCCAGAGTGTCTATCCAGTAAGTACACACTTTCGACACATGGCGGTGCTAAACCACTAACTCTCAAGTCATCCCACTCCACAGCCACCCAACTTCACGGTGTTCCTGAACACCCCGACCAGTCAACAACTTCAGGGTCCATCTCGCGCAGCGCACAATCGAGAAGATGAGCACCACCGAGAAGCGGAAGTTTACCAGCCGCGAAGACATGCAGAAGCATGTCAACGGTCTTGTTGCATCTGGTGCTATCGTCGTTGGTCCCAGAAAGCGGCTCAGGATTGGAGACGACGGTCTTCTCCAAGTCATTGATCCTGCTCGATCCCCAATGCTCATGCCCTATTCTGACGCTCGGAAGAGACTGATTAATGTCATCAACTACCTGGAGTCTCCGGCCGGTCCCAAGTCTGTCGACTGGTGTAATGCTCTCAACAAACTTCAGTTGCTCGACAGCAAGGATGAGCGCGACGGCCAGCTGGATATCCGCGCTTGGAAGATATGCGCAGCGGCCCATAAGGAGGCCATCGATGACCTCACTTACATGGATTTGCTAAAGAATGCCTTCCCTGATAAACATGGCTATGATGACTGGGAATTTACAGACAACAATCACACTGTCATTGAGTTCGCACAGCGGGCTTGTCGTCTGCTTGGTATTTCCAGCTCTGGTGAATACAGAGAGGAGGCCTGGGATGATGGTTTGGCCGAGGAGATGTTGGAGAAAGATCTGGAAGCGTACCGACTCGTCGACAGATTCTTTAAGCTCCTCGTCGAGTTTGACAAGAGTGACTGGGCTTTCTGTGAGTACCCATATGGTTCAAAGGTCAGAAAATACATGAAGAGCTTCCGAGAACTGCAGCCGATCAAGGCACTCGACGCGGTCATGGAAAACGAGCATTTTCTTATCCTCGAGCGCAAGGCAAAAACGGCCAAACGGGCCCAAGCCAGCCAGGCCGCGCTGGTCCCACGCAAACAGCCCAGAGAGCAGGAGCAAAATGATGCTTCAGACTGAATCTCGAGAAAGTCTTGAAGCTGTTCTCGCCGGCTCTTATTCCCACTCTCTGTATTTAGGTTGGCACACCCATGCACGAAAAGGGAGACCACTGGAGGATCTACTTGACGGCTATTCGGACACCGGGTTGAGAAGGCATCGAAAGCCTTCAATTTCGTTTGGGGACTTTTTTGGCAGGGGAATCATTTCATCACATCATGAGGGAATCGCATGTGCTGATTCGGGGAACAAGGCAGAGGGATCTTGGTATGAGATTACGGATGCGCGGAAAGGACGAGACAACTCCCAGGTTGCCATCATGTCTTCAGATAACTAGTTGGAATGCGAGTAGAGGATACGCATTTTAGGACGGGAATTTACATCTTGCCAAGTACCTACTAATATTTCGTGTCAAGCATTGCAAATCTGCAAAGCGCCGACAGCCTTGCGGCAGATGCTGTCATTACACAATGCGTGGAATAACATGTGCGTTTCCGCTCTAGACAAAGAAATGAGCTAGAGGGTGCAGAATAAAAGCAGTTGGCCGGTTCTCGTCATATCTCACGTAACAGCCGCAAAGAATCGTGGCTTACAAGGCAATCTGCCGTCAAAGAAGATGCATCCCGATTGATAAACAACGTTCAAAGATCCTTGTCAAGGTGGTAGCGCGGGTATAAGATGGGGAACAGACAGGGTCTTGGCGCCGATCTCTTCTGACCGTGGCCATTTTTAGCCACGGGTGTCTCTCCACTGCCGCCTTGATTTTGTCCGCCTCTCGAGGCCGCGATCGCAGCCGGCGGCGTTTACCATTTGACTGGAAAAACTCTGACCGTAGACGGCGTCACCGGTTAAGTCCATTAAGGGGTTGGAACTTATGGGAGATGGGCTTCAGTTCACTAATACATTTTCCAGGACATTTCTTCTCCCTGGTACTCACATTCTGGTCGCCTCCTCTCACGTTTGTTTCCCATCTCCCTCCTCTTGGTCACACACTCTCTTCCTTTTTTTCTTCCGTGTTGCCCCGCGCTAGTCAGGGGCCCTTGCAGGTGGCCTTCCGCTAGAACACAGTACGTACACGCAGGAGCTTCCACTGAGGAAAGAGGTCTTCTCCCTCCCCGCTTCCACCCAATTGCTCTCGTCGCCTGGTGCTCCTTCCACAGGCTGACTGCGCCTGCTGCGGCTCTGTCCCATTGTCAGTCAGTGAGTGTCAGTGTGGGCAGCAGGGACATGCATCGGGTCGGGTGTGTGTGGCGGAAGGCGCTCCCAACTTAGGTAGAGCCCGAGTACAGTACCTGCACTCCTACACTCCCCGCTAGACTCTCGTTAGTGTCTTTTTTTCACTTCTCACGGGGACTCTTTCTCTAGCCTCATTTTCTCTCCTGCTCAAGGGTTGGAGTTGCGCACAAAAAAAGTTGCTTGCCCTTTGCGCCCTTGAGGATCGCCTCTATCGTCGCCCGGCCGTCGTCGTCGTCTGCGGCGCTCTCTGCAGTCGAGGATGCGCATACTGCATCCCTTGCCATTTTAACTTTGCAGTTCTGGCCTGTGTCCTGTGTCTTAGGTGGCGACTGCCCTCCATCATCCCTCACCTTCCCGCCCTCTCTCAAACTTCACCATCCGCAAAACCTCACCGCTGACCTGTCGCAACTGCGCAACGGGCCCTCCCCCGGCTTCAATGGAGGTCCAACCACCGTCGCATGAGGCGGCGAATCCTCCTTATCATTCTCACGAGCCTATCGTGTCTCATCAGCTTCCACCCGAGCCTCTTTACGGTCCCTGGCTCCCGAGTGAGCAGGGTTCAATCCCCGCCAGTTTGCTCCCAGACGTCATCGAACCGGCACAATCTGTCCAGCAGGACATCGCGCCCGCGGTTCAAGAGCCTCGGCTACCAGAAATCGCCTCAAATGATCCTCCTGCGCCTCGCGAAATTCCATCTGCCTCTCTAAACCCTCGGCTGCCAGCAGATAGTTGGGATGCGAGCTCGACGCTTAGCGAACCAGCGCCCATTGATTGTCCAATCGACCACGATTATGACGGACCTCAAGGCCACAGTGTGCTGCGGCTCAAGCCAACCATCGACCAATGGAATGACTTTCCAGCCATTCTTGCCTCTGCCAGACATCTCGGGGCCGATGAAGATGGCTGTTTCAAAGTGATCCTCCCGCAGGAGCTGCATGAGGAGCTTCCAGAAAAGAATTCCCAAAAAGTTGCAGCAAACGCCTACCGGCCCACCCAGATCAAGAAGAACAGCTTTTGGAGAGTCGACACTGTTCCTTCTGAGGGTACCTTTTCTTCTGATGTGACGGGTCCAGAATGCACTTCCAGTGCTCTGGACGCTATTGACCAGCTGAGAAAGATGTTCCGCAAGAATGATCACAAGCAGATCCGCAATGTTCGTTATCGGGTCGATGTTCCTGCATGGACCACCGAGCAACGAAGGCAAGCAGGTGTTCCAGAAAAGAGCCCCATACATCCTCTCAAAGGAGACAAACTGGAGAACACAAGAGCCATTATCCCTGGAATTCACACGCCTTATGTGTACGAATCAGGTCCGCATTTCGGAGCGAGCTTCCAGATTCATGCCGAGGACTTCCGACTCGTCTCCTTGAACCACCTCTACAAGGGCCGCAAAATCTGGATCGTGGTTCCGTCCACGGCAGTCGACGTGGCCGAGGAAGCTCTCGGCCGAAAAGGCAAATGCTCGCAGTTTATGCGCCACCGGGCTGAATTCTTTTTCCCTCAGAAGCTCGAAAAACTGGGCATCCCCTTTCGCATCGTTGACCAGCGACCTGGTGAGACCATAGTGATTCTGCCAGATGCATACCATGAGGGTTTCAGCACGGGATATACCATTGCCGAGGCCAAGAACTATGCCGACGATGCATGGACTACCGATACATATCAACCATGCGAAATCAAGTGTCAACTCGCCACGGCAATTCCGGCTGAGCTACTGAGACCCTTGCAAGAGGGTGAGACGCAGTTAGATCTCTGCGCCGGTTACGAGCTCATGTCACAACAAACAACACCAGCACCAGTTACAACGCCGGTACCGGTACCAGCGCCAGTACTGGTGCCAACACCATCTGAACCAGTGAAGCGGCGTTATGAAGGTGAAGAACGGGATAATGGTGATATCAAACGGGTCAAGGAATAGAGAGGCGCATGGGTTCATCTGTTTTCTTGGTCTTACGGAGTTGGTTTTGTTGGCAGGCTATGATACAATCTGCTGGGGACGGCTGGGGTTTTGTTTTGGGAGGGATTCGGAATACCCATGAGACCCGGCGTATGTGATACTATCATGGCATTTGCCATGATTCACGGGATCGGCTCTCTTTTTTGTTTCGTCTTCACGGTGCTGCCAAGGCAGCCAGGGGAAGGCTATGCATAGTAATGGGTTGATGGACAAGGCGTTCATATTAAGTCTCATCATACGTCATTTATCATTACTCCCGCTCGCCGTCATCCAAATGCATCCATTGATGTAGATTTTACACGTCAAATGAGTCAACTGTCACGGACAGGTTGGCTCATGACACCCCATATACACTTGAGTTCCTTCTCTTTCTTAGTGGCGCCTCTCCTGGTCCTGTCTCCTCATCTCATCACGGAAGGCATTGTGGCCACCAGTGGTACCCTGCTGGGCGAACGAAGGATCGACAGGGCTTCCAGCCAGGCTGCCGAGGCCGTCGCTGTCACGGCGGCGGTTCTCAGGAGCATCACGGTACTCGCCAGGGGGTGGCATGTCGCGGGTGTCGAGCTGGATGCCGTTGTCCTTGCGGCCAAACAGGCGGCGCTCAGCACGGCCAGTGTATCCGTGGCGGCCGCGGCTCATGATGTTGCCAAGTCCGATGCGGCGGGTCTTGCGGTTCCAGAGGCACACGCCGATCAGCAGGAGGAAAATGGAACCCAGGACGACGGGTAGGGCGATGACGAGAGTCTGGCCGTGGGGAACCTTGGGTTCCTTGTGGGCAGGAAGCTGAGGGCTGGCGACGTTGAGGTAAATGGTCGAGGCCTTCTTCTTCTCGGCAGTGTGGTTGCGCTGGCTGTAGAGGGTGATGGAGATGTTGTGGTCGCCGCCGAACTTGCGGTACGAGTCCTTGACGTTGAAGGGCCAGAAACCAAAGGCGGCAGGGACCTGGTCAAAGTCGTCGCCCTCCTTCTGGTACTCTTCGCTGGTGGTGTTGTAGATGTCGAGGCGGGCAAAGACCATCATGGCAGCGGTGGTGTTGTCGGCGTTCTTGTCCTCGAAATAGTCGGGGTCCCAGGTGACTACCATGATATTAGTGGTTGGGATTGGGCAGACGTGAAGCCAGTTACTTACTGAAGTAGGTCTTGCCAGTGGTCAGGGTGCTGTTCTCGTAGGGAGAGCAGAAGGGAGCATTGCTGCCGTCCTTGTTGTGGCAGCGGGTGAAGACACCCTCGCCGTGCTTGCCAGTGGCGGTAGGATTGGGAGGCTCGCCGGTGCTGGTATAGATCTCGCCGTAGTAAGTCGAGGTGTAGACGGTGGCGGTCAGGTCATGGGGAGCACCGTCAACGATGGAAGTGACGCCGTCGACCACGGTCATAGAAGGCGTGTAAGTGGTGGCAGGTTGAGCCTCATCGTCGACGGAAACCCAGGCGGCTGTCTGGTCGGCTCTCTTCTCGATGACAACGTCGCGCTGTTGGTTGACATTGGCGTAGCGGACGACCGAGGCAGAGGCAGAAGCCACGAGGCCAACCGAGGCGAGGATCTTGGACGCGTGCATGATTGTTGTGGTGTTGTTTTGAACAGATGAACCAAGATTGAACCAGACCAGAGACAGATTCGCCGACGGAAGACAAGGGCGAAGAAGAAAAGAGAAAGGAGGTTGAAGAAGGAAAAGAAAAGGAAGAAAAAAGTTGGAGCTGCCGGGAGATGAGGTCGTGACAACAAAACAATGCCTGGGCTACCATGAAAAGAAAGCGCCGATCTACCCGGGGCGCGGGATTGGAATTGGGGAGCCTCGACGGCCCAACCACGTCGAGGTATTATTTCGCGCAGCCTCTGGGGCCAGGCACGAGGGACGCTAAAAAGGCCTCAGCGCAGGGGACGAGTCAGGGGTTTGTTGGCAGGTCTTCTTCTCCGGGGCTTCCAGTGAGCGCCACAGCCGACCGATGAAGCCGGGCTTGTTGATGTCATTGATGGAAGGGTTCGGAGATGGAACGGATTGTTTTAAAGAGGGTAGAGACATTGTATTGAATACATGTTGAAGTTCGTTATGGATGTTGATACATTACTTGTCTCGTCTCGTGTTGTTGGTTTTGCTTTTCGTGTTGGTGCCGCGGCTGAAATGATCGGCATGCGACGAGACATGGCCTTGATCCTTCCGCAGCGTGCTACCCTGCACGATCGTCTGTGACAATCCGGATTTCAAATTGACTTGCCTGGGACTTTACAAAACACTAGGGGAAAGGCATTACCTTGTCCTTCCCTAAAGATGGCTGATGATGTGTGGATAGAATATGTAGAAGGAATAACTGCTCTTAGGATACCTTTTATCTTGTGTTGATAGAATTCATGTAAATATGTCCCAATGCTTTAGAGGAGGCCTTCCCTCATTGCTCTTCTGGTGTCTCGTTTTTTCCTTGATCATCGTACCTGGATCATGTCGTGCTTCGCCTCATTGCCCCTTCAACTCACATCTGTCATGGCAGTCAACTGTATTTGTATGTATCTGTCGTATGTAGTTTCTCTCGGAGTTCGGCTTGTCCGAACGCAGTCAATAAGCTTTTCAAGTCTGACATCCAACACAACCAAGTCAACAACCATAACCTGGGCCCCTAGACCAGCAGAGTAAACCGTAAACCGAGAATACCAAGAAATGCCCCAAACTCCCTGCCGACAGAGAACCCGGCCCTTATGGAACGCTTGGGCTCGGCCTCCCACCATCAAGCGGATCCCCCGAGATCCTCCGGTGAGATGGCCGAGTTGGTTATGGCGTCAGGTTAAGGTCACCTTAACAACCTAAGATTCCTGATGGAGCAATCCTCCTGGGTTCGAGTCCCAGTCTCATCAAGTCTTTCTTTTTGCGGGTTGGAAATGTGTTGTTGTCATTGTGGTTGTTGTTGGTCAACCTGCCTTTTTGGCACAGTTGGAGAAAAATGTTTCACAAAATTTATGCGAGTAAAAGTTGGATTGGCCAATCAGAGCTCAGCCGTACATAGCTATTCTTCAACACCATGCTTTGACATCTCAACCAGCAAATTTTTTTTTCACAAAATTGCAAAAAACATACAACACCAGGGATTCGCTGGTCGTCACCGACCCAACTACTAGTCCGGCGCTTCGGAGCTTAACTATGGGAGAGCGGACGGGATCCCGTGTTCTCTCCGAGCTGTGGTCGTATGTACCAGGTGACGTTCACAATCAACTTATAACCACTGGAAATTTGAGATGAGAAGAGTTGAAGAGTAAGTTCCATTAACACCATAATTCCACCACCCAAAGTTCATTTCCTCGAGAGGAGGTCCAGTCGTGACACCTCAAACTCCAAATACCAAGTCTCTCCCACCCAACTGCTTCTCACCCTCAACCCTCCACCGGTGGAACCTTGCTTGGACAGGCAGCGTTGGGACATTCTGCCGCGTTGAGCCCCTGGACTGCGCTCCGTTTGAGTTCATGTTGTGGTGAAAACCAGGCTGCCGGGGGAGTCAAGCCCTCATCCTGCCGGCAGACTTCGAGGCTGGCCTTGAGGTAGGGCATGCAGTACTTCCATAAGAGGGTAACGCTGCTGAAGCAGACCGGACACTGAGCAACCGCTTCGCTGCACATGGTGTGGGGTCGATTGTTGGTATACTTGAAAGTCGATATATAGAGAAAATGGGTAGAGGGTTGAGGTTGTCGAGGAGGGTCTTGTCCCAAGTGGCCGATATATATACTTGTTGCCCTGTTGTCACAAAGATACAATCACAGCCCCCCTTTCAATCACATCTGATTATGTGAATCGGAGACAATAACGAGTACCGCCGCCAAGAGCCCGAATGGCCGTTCTCTTGTTTTATATGGCCTACCGTCAACTCACACCGTCCCATGATCGGCGGCCAATCTGAGACCTGTCAGTTTTTGCCTCCGCAAACATAGCTTTGCTTGCAGGCACACGGGCCGAGTTAGCCGATTCTCCTAAAAATGATAATAAGAAGAATAAAAAAGGCTCTAAAGTATTACTTTAATTATGATATATATCTTACTTCTCTTATCATATTTTAAATCAATTTATTTATAATAATTATGAGGAGTGAGGTAACTCCCCTCCTATTCTGGTGTCGTTTATTTCTGACCCCCAGGCAGGCTCGTTGCGCGGCATTTCGCACAGCTACAGACAGACGTGGATTGGCACATTGATAGGCGCCGTGGCATGCGCCAGGGGGTCATTTCCTCGGAGGTGAAACGGTGACACAAGACGGGAGCGCATACCAGACGAAAAGGAGATGGAGAAGTAGGTCATCTGCTGACCAAGATCGGATCCAATACCATTGCCAAATACACTGTACACATGACGCCCTGTCCTTATTTTCCCCCTTGACATGGAAGCACAAACAAAAAAAAAACAAGAAATATCCCGATCCCTATCAGTAACTTCTGATCTGTCCATACTTGTTGATCGAGAGCACAGTGTCGGCCGAGCAAAGGTAATGCGTATTGGCTCCGTGCTCTCTGTCAAATCCCAATGGTCCCCACGCAGCCTCCATATCCTCGCGGAAATCCGTCTTGGGCTTGCCGGCCTTGATGCGCTTCTTCTCAAAGAAGATGTATGCGGCATAGAAGGTAATGTTGGTGTTGCCGTCGCGAGGACCTTTGCGACCCATAAAGTATCGCATGTTGGCCGCCGAGACGCTTTGCCCTGCAGGCAGGTTCTTATTAATCTCGCGGATAAAGGCTGCTTGGGTGATGCCATCGCGGGCCAGGACGTGGCGGATCTTCTTGCGTATCTCTTCACACGTGTCAAACACGGGCACGCTGCCCGTCTCCTCGCCGTCGAGCTCGTCAACACCACTCACGTCGAAGATCTCGGACACCGCCTTTGCCGACGCGGCCGTCTTGGGCTTCTTGGGCTTGGGGGCCTTGAGAGGAAGACCCTGGAGCTCGCGCTTCTTGAAGAAGCGATGCCCCTTGAGGTAGGTGTCGCAGTTGTCGCCGTCCCAGGTACCGGTGCGGTTCATAAAGGAGAGGTAGGCTTTGCTACTGACGCCGATGGTCTTTTGGAACTCGCCGACCTTTTGCGCGCCCGACTCGGTCCAGTTGCGGATCTTGCGACGGACCGCGTTGCACGTGTCGGTGATGACGTCGAGCCGGGGGTCATAGTCGTCAATGTCTTCAACATCGTCGGGGAAGAGCTTCTCCTTGAGGTCTTCCTCGCCGGCGTCCGACTTGCGCTTCTTGGATGCCGTTGTGGCGGGCTTGGGTTTAGGCTTGGATGCGCCCTTTGCGGTAGAGTTTTCCTTGTCTGCGGATGCGACGGGTGACGAGGAGGCCTCAGTCAAGACTGGGCTGTCGTCGCTCACGAGATTGTTATTGTGAAGCTGAGCCATGGCACGTCTTGGTGACCAAGACCATCCAGCTTCGGTCGCCATTGTCTCTGCGATGCAAGGTTCAATTTACATGATTTGCAGGTTGTTGAATGCAAGACGCAGCGTCGATGTAATGACCCCACGGGATGACGTTTTCTGTCTTGGGGCTATCGGCAATCTTGCTCTTCCATCAAAGATGCGCGAAGCTTGGACGATAGCTGCGCGTTGCTTGAGAGCGGGGGAGTACTTGGCTGAAGCACTGTGCACTGTGCGCGTCTGTGGGTATTGCCTATTATGGCAAGACGCTAAGATATTAAATATTCCCGATCGGCGCTCCGTACGGAGTGGGGCCGGGTCCGGAGCTGGTCGGGTGCCGGAGCGGGGCTGCACAAAGAGCATGCTCTCGAGATAGTACATAAAGGCTACATGCACAATGCCAAGGCAGCATCTGTTCCCGAGGGTAGGATAATTGACAACCCACGGGCCACCATTCCACGCCAACGACTCTAGCTCAATGCAAACAATACAATCTCGGATGTCGTACAGATATGGATGGAGACACTTCGTGGGGGTCATGATCCTCGGGAGTCGGAGTACACAACCGCCAATACGAGAAGCGGCATTAGAAAGGACACGAGACTGCTAAGACCTCAAGCGCGGGGTGCAGGCTGTCTGCGCCCTCTGACCCAAGTTGAGGGGATGCCAGCTTCAACTGCATACGGCTCTGAATCCTGACGTGAGCATCAACCCGTCATGCCGGGGCAATATTTAGGTAACGGAAACGATCATATGAGTTCGGCAATTGTTGTATAATACTCTCGTCGAAGCTACAGGTCACTATTGGTTAACAGTCAACAAAGCGGGCAGCGTGGCTCAGACCTCAACTACCAGGCAAGTTTTACGGATACTTCTCCGACTCTCGTTTCCAATTTCCACCACTCACGCGTCATGATCGCCCTCGGCGGCTGCACCTGCAACCCCCTCTTCCTTAAATCCCCGGACTGATCAATGCTCCATGCGGCCTTGTGGAGCTGAAGCTGGGGAAATGAGACAACCGCTGTGGAGTTTGTGGGACCCCCCTCCTTGCCGTTTACTCGGTCCTCGCGTGGGGGGTCGACGGGCCTCGTTGAGGATGCTACAGATCGTGGGGGTTCCGTATGGTAGAGTCAAACCACATGGTGGCCATCTTCGGCTGGTATTCCCGGCTTTGATTCGGCTCGAGTGTGTCCGAGTTGGTGGTAGGTCCGGCGGGATCCGGCTCTGTCTGCTTTGGATATATAAGGCAGTGGCATGGCCTCAGCTTGATGTGCTTTGTCTGTGTGCTTTGTCTGGTAGACTCACGAGAATCCGCGTAGCCGGGACTTCTTCGTACCTGAATCCCCTATTCCTCTTACAATCTTGTCAGTCAGCAACATCATGGCGGTGTCATCGACAGTAGAAGAGAATGGAACCGCCAACCACACTGCAACCACAACGACATGCCCCCTGATCGATGGCATCTATGTACCAACCGTTGCATTCTTCACCCCTGACGGCAACATTGATGTCGAAGCTACAAAAGCCCACGCAACTAGACTCGCACAAGCAGGTGTTGCTGGTCTCGTCACCCACGGTTCCAACGGCGAAGCTGTCCATCTCGACCACGAAGAACGACGACTCATCACACAAACCACTCGAAGTGCCTTGAACGAGGCAGAGAAGCATGGTATACCTCTCATCGCTGGTTGTGGTGCGCAGTCAACTCGGGAAACGGTAGAGCTCTGCCGTGAGGCCGCCAGCTCAGGGGCAAGCCACGCCCTTGTTCTCCCACCAGCCTACTACCACAACCTTCTCACAACTGAGCACATCCAGGGGCACTTTCGCAAAGTAGCCGACCAGAGTCCTATCCCTATTCTCATCTACAACTTCCCTGCTGCTTGCGCCGGCCTCGATCTCAACTCTGATACCATCCTCGCCCTGGCTCAGCATCCCAACATTGTCGGTGTTAAGCTTACATGCGGGAATACAGGAAAGCTGGCTAGGGTAGTGGCTGGGACTAAGGACACCGATTTCAAGACATTTGCTGGAAGTGTCGACTTTACGATCCAATCCCTCTCCGTTGGGGGACACGGGGTTATTGGCGGCACGGCCAACATCGCCCCCCGGGCATGCGTTCAGCTCATGCAGCTGTGGAAGGAAGGCAAGCAAAAGGAGGCTGTGGGATTACAGGCGATAGTATCTCGCAGTGATTGGGCAGCTATCAAGGGAGGCTTCATAGCTGTCAAGGCGGCATTGGAGAGATATTATGGGTACGGGGGTCAGCCAAGGAAGCCATGTTCGCCCCTTGAGGGTACTGCCCTCGACGCTCAGCTGGAGGGATTCCTGGAGCTTGTTGATCTGGAGAAGAGATTTGAGGGCGATTGCAAGAGCTGACAGATGTTTCTGCTGGATGTAGCTTGTCAGAGACTAAGATTGTACCTTTGCCAGATGATAGGTCTACTATTGACAACTCAGCCTCCAATGAAGAATATGATTGAGGATGTTGCCACGAAATACTATTGTAGTTTTCTCCAACCCATGAATAATTGAGGCTTTTGCTGCGTGATTGCGTAGTGAGTTGTCGTCTCGGCCTCTCGGTTGGACGGAGCACGTACATGAGTATGGTTACACAACCTCAAGCAAGCTGACCCATAGAAAAAACATGATCCCCCACGCAACAGGTATCTGTTACCAGACGTGGCGTGTTTTCAGTAGTTTATGTTACTTTGGGGGCCCCAATCAGTCAGACCACGTTAACAAGCCGGAAGGAGTCATGAGTGAGAACTGACGGGAGGGCCTCAGAAGTTGCTGTTGACCATTCAGTGAGATTGGGGGTGAGGTTGAAATGCTGGCCGAAATTCCCTCATATTGGGAATGCCTGGGTTGTCATGGGATCTGCGTGATAAGATTCTCATTTGTGACTTTGATGGCGATCAGTTAGTCAGGACTATCACAGGTTTGATGTTGCTATCGTCGAAATATCACAGGCCATCAGAGATCACTGGCGATCTGGAATGCTCATATGCGGTTGCGAGCAAATGTGTCAAACATTTCCAGGAAAGTAGTCTATTGGAATGTATGTCTGGAAATCGACAGATGGTAGCTACATCTAATGCAGAGTGTGAGGTGTTGGCTGAACTAAGAGAAGGCTGTCCTAAGAGGAGGCTATCATAGGCAATCCATGGCCAGATGACCCCTGCATACTTCCTTTGCTATCTCTTCCAACAGTATCCCTGAAGAGTCTGAGTATGGAAGTCAAAGCCGATGATATTGGGGCAAGTTGGCTCAATCAGTAATCGGAGTGTCACTCGCAATGGAAACTGCTACTTGCACATGAGCCACCTAGAGTCAGAAGCAAACAGCACCAGGCTCGGATATATAAACCCACTTTGAGCTTCTCGAGCTGCAGAACAAGATACGCCTGCTATCGACAGAATAGAGCAGTATATTAGACATTGTGTCACCGGTTACCCACACTGGTTACCTTATATCCCATCAGAAGCACTGAGACGTAACCCCCCTTTTCCTTTCTTGACGACTTATATATCACTTTACCACTACTAGATACGATGGATATCATGCCACCCTCATTTCACCTTCATCGCTTGCAGTCTTTGCCACTCCAGGGACGGGCAATGACACAGACCCTAGTCCGGGTTGAGAGCCCTGCTGTCAGGCAGGGGCTTGAGTTGTCGACGAGCTACAGACTAAGATGGCAGACCAACCACGCCGAAAGTCATATGCACACTCGACACCCTTCAATAGTTTCCACTACTATATTGGGATAGAATGTTGGTTGAGCGCAATGCTGCGCCGAGAAGACATCGAGAACCTAATGACACTGGTCTGCACAGTCTTTGGCCATTTAGAAAAGGAGCTGGCGGTTGGGGCGCTTGCTGTCTCGGCGACACTCGGATCTTGAATCCCTAACGTCAAGAGCGTTCAGGGAAACCAACAGCACGTTGGCGCATTTTCCCTCTCCTCTCCTCCTCTCTTTGACGTTTCTCTCCCCTACGCCCATGAACAATTACTTTCATATTACTCAAACAATAACAACACTGAACATCAGAGATTCGGGTTATTGTTGAACATCTGCCTTTGTTACTATACACATCTTGGCGCTTTCGGCACCTTTGTTCACTCCAAGGACAGAACCACTTCCTTCACTGAACACCAGTCAGTGAAACACATCACAAGCTAATATTACAACTATTACATTCACTTAATCCCTCTATTATATAACTATGCGTAAAATCTACCCAGAAGCAACCAAGTGTTCTCACTTGACCATTCCACTGTCTCCCTGCCGACCCGTTTATCGGCACTTTTGCTTGACCTTGGCACCAGACACATCTCCCTCTTTCTCCCTCACACCATGTGTATCAAACACGTAAATGTGTGCTGCCACTGCGGCGAACTCCTGGAGCCGCATTGGGTCAGCTGCAACTTTCACCTACTTCTGTCCCGGACAGCTCTGAGCCAAATTCCTCCTCTGGAGGAGCCGCTCCACAGCCAGTGCCCCTATCAGAAGAGCAATGTGCGTCCTACGCTCCGCGGATGTGTCAATAGCGACTCTTGCCCCTCTTGGCTTTGGGGTTTGACCGAGGGGCTTGGTGAGGCTGAGGACGAAAGTCGGGAGGTGACCGAGGCTCAAGAAGAGGTTGCAAGAGCAAAGTATGAAGAGTATAAGAAGGAGTTTGCTAAGAATCACTACACTCGACGATCGCCTCCAATTCGAAAGAACTTTGGAGAATTCCTGGAGACGGCACTTGATGATCTACCTTCCCCGGACCCGGAATACAATTCCGACGATTACTTTAGCTTGACGGATGACGATGAAGGGCAGGAGCTTCTATCTGAGGCTTGCTCTCTTGGAAGCCTTTCGGGCTCTATGTCAGCCAGCAGCGCTCCTCCTGGTCTGGGTGTCCACTTCGAGATTAACCCTGAGCTGCTCACCCAAGAGAACGTCCCTGCCAAGAAAGATGTCACAGACACAGAGATCGAGCCTCCCTCGGCCGAAAACCTGGCAAAAGAGTATCGAGATCTCGTAGCACCTATCTGGGCTTGGTTCTTCTCAAACGACTCGGACCCTGATACTGAAGCCTCTTAATAAATTTCCATTTTCCTCCAATCAACTCGCAATGAGATTCTTTTTAATATTTATATACTACAACATGTCTAACATATGGGCGATGCCAAAGAACCCCCTTTCGAAGGGCACGTGGCAAATCGAACCCATCTGTTGTCTCGTTGCTAGAGACGAGATTCGAGATTTCCTCCAACGTCATGGGGACGTTTCCCTATATATACACACTTCTACTCCGACCAGGAAATTGACTGTCGCCGGAGGGTACGCCGCCATCTGAAGCCCTCGAGCATATGGCTAGTTCATTATTGCCCAATGACAACAACCATCACATCGCCGTCTACTGCTGGCTGCGTTCTTCAGGGGCGGTTCTAGGGGTCGTCTTTCACGCAGACTGGATCGTAGATGGCTTCGAGCAGAACATCTCGATGAACGGACGGTCTCACCCAAAACGCCAAGTCGAGGAACTCGTAAGTCGTAATACGGTCTAACCTTTGACTTGCCATTACCGACTCGATGGTATAGACCGATGATGAAGCAGTGAGCCGGCGTTTGATTCACTAACCGATGGGCGATTGCTGACCCGGAGACATAGGATGACGATGTTGCACGCTCGGATGACGGTAGCGACGCATAAACCTCCGTATTCGACTATATATACAACCTCTTTAGCCCCATGGTATGCTTGGGGCACAGTCAAGGGCCATGAGTTTTGCCCCTAGATGCAACCCACAGACCATGGGGTGACACCGGGTCGCTGTCTGGTTGAGCGCACATCTGAGGTTCCCCTTGCGTTTTCATCTGCGCCCGACGAATTCGGGGGTTCTGGGGTCAGTTCCTCACGGCGAATTGGTGCTCTCAAATCGCACCGCGGACGACACTCCGGCGTAAGGGGCACAAAGCCGCTATAATAGCAGTCCGGTAGTGAAGCTCTAGGGAGAAGTCGGCCAGAGCCGCTGGGAGCGTCCACCGTTCGCGCCTCGTGTGGACTGCTTCAACCCCGGAGAAGATGAAGAATCTGATTCCGATCAATATTCGAGTTTGGTTGGCTGAGAGATGGTTTCCACGCACTGGTCGGCAATGTTGTACGGGAAAGGGGTCAACCTCACAGCTTCGACCAATGGGTTGCCGACGACAAGCCACTGTCGACAAGGGATGGAGGCTTTGGGATTGAAACGGCCCTGGCTGAAAGGCATGGGAAAGCAAGATTAAATGGAAATCAACTTTTATCATTCACTTTAATTATCACGTTTAGCTACGCAAGCGGGTTCGGCGTTTCTTTCAATACGCCTCTCTGAGTGAAGTATTCACAACACCCACCTAATGTCGCCCCAAGATAGCACAAAATCATCTACCCTAATTAGACAACTAAAGGCATTAAATAGATACCTATATCTTGATATGATAGTTTCGCATAGTAGCGCGCTTTGTCGTTTGTCAATTGCTGCAAGGAGCCGCGAGTGCGTGTCTTACCCTATGTAGGTCCTTAATCAATATTGTACATCGGATTCGCTGTTGGCCTCTCTATGTGAAAGGGGAACAAACCGGTGTACTCCAAAAGCACTGATATAATGGATAAGGAATTTATATATACAAGTGACATGGTTGAGACCGGTCAGTCAGTCTATCATGGCCGGAGGGAGCCATTGTACACACCAAGCGATGGACAATGAGAACTCTAGATCGGAGATCCAATTCCGCACCTTGGGCTGAGCTTGCATCTTTCGACCCTATAACTCTAAAGCATGGCATAAAATCATGGGACATTTAAGTTGAGTCATGAAATTTATTTATGTGACATTCGTATGCATGAAAATCGCAATAGTCTGTTACACAGTGGCTGTCATGACAAAGTCCATCATGACAATGACGCGGATTTCATTCTCAAATGCTGTCAACTCCGATGGGCGGAAAGTGGGCATGGTGGGGGAAGCTGAGCTCTTAGTTGTGGTGATCATTCTAACCATAAACAGAAATGATCAGCGACTATCTTTTAAGCTTGGCTTGCTGATATTCTCCGTTAAAGATCAGATAACCTTCTGGAACATATTATCTGACTTCCAGAATCTCCAAGAGACACCTAAAGTATCAAGAAAATGAATCTCAACTGTCAAGTATGAAAGTCTCCCGGGATTTCTTCGTGTATCGGACTCGAATCCTTCCGGAAGAAATCACACCACTGCACGGGATTCAGCCCTACAAGCTCAAACCCCGATGCATTAGAACCAACACCATATCCACCTGATAAGATTATAAGTCAATGCCCGATCCTGTTATTGAGCTTTCAATTGAAGCGCAGCAGTTTTGTTTAATCAATTGACTCCTCACACAATGGCTGAAGGCAATGAATGGCGAAGGAGGATCCTCCTCCTTGTAACAACGGGCGGCTTCACCCATGCTGGTAACTCAATGTCCAACCCTCATATCTCAAGCTCCGACTGACAGACTTGTGAAGCTCCCGTCCTCGAAATAGGTGCTGTATTGGCCTCCCGCGGCCACGAGATCCAGTTCGCAACATGCGCCGGCCAAGAATCCTGGGCAAATGACTACCCCTTCATCAAGACCATTCACACAACAGGCCCCGCAGCACCAGAGGATGAGATGGACGCCCACTACGAGCGCATGCGCCTCTGGACGCACAAGGATGGCTTCGCCCCCATGTGCAAATCCAAGTACCTCTTCGATCGTTTCTGGACCGACGCCTACAAGTGCGTACGAGCACTGTGCCTGGACCCCTCCACAAGGCCCGACTTTATCATTGCCGATTGGTTCGTCGATAATGTTGCCAGGGACATGCTTAAGCAGTTCAATATCCAGATTGCCAGCGTCTGGCCTCAGATGCCGTTCATCATGGCTCCTGTGAGCTATCAGCCAGGCCAGCCCGGCTATCAAGCCGATGGAGCCATGACTTCAGAGCACGCGACCCTGATGTCGAGATTCCGAAACGAATTCGTTGTCGTCGCTGCCATTCCGACCGTCATAGGCTTCCTGCGTTGGACGCGCAAGATGCGCGCTGATGCTGGCGTTCACTATAGCCAACCTATTCTGACCAAGCCAGACTATCTCGTCCTGGTCAACTCGTTCTGGGGCCTGGAAACCCCTAAGGAGTTACCGCCGCTGATGGCTTCAGTTGGTCCCATTCTGGGTGACGAGTATCCGCCTCTGGATCAAGATCTAGCACAATTTCTCGAAGAGCACGACAAGACAGTCTACGTCTCTCTTGGAACCCATGTCGCCCTCCCGGCGGAAGAGCTAGAAAAGGTGACTCTGGGTCTCATTCAGGCGCTCGATGCTGGCTCTATCAACGGCGTCATTTGGGCGATCCCTCGCAAGGGCCGGGCCAAGTTCGACACCTCAAAGTCATACCCCCTCGCTGATGGCTCAGTTCTCAACGTGGCAGAAATGCTCAAGGATGCCCATCCTCACTTCCGTCTACCGGTCTTTGCTCCCCAACGAGCTGTCCTAGAGCACTCTAATACAGCCCTCTTCCTCACACACGGCGGCGGTTCAAGCGCCAATGAAGCCCTCTTCCATGGGAAGCGAGTCCTGGTGGTCGGCTACTTCTTTGACCAACTCTGCAACAGCTCTCGTCTTGTCACAGCCGGAGTTGGCCTTTCCCTCGACAAGTCACACCTCACCCCTTCATCCATCGGCGACTCCATCACAAAGGTCATCCTCGACCTCGATGGAACTTTTGCCCGCAACGTGCGTCGCATGCAGCGCATCGCCGTCATCAACTCCCGTCGAAAGGAGCTTGCCGCCGACCTTGTCGAAGAGGTTATGACCGATCAGGAACTGCGGTTCCGTGATGGGGTTGAGCTTCGACCGATGCATCTGCAGACCGCCGATGTGCGCATGCCTCTCTGGAAGGCAAGGAACTGGGACATGTGGCTTGTTAGTATGACGGGTCTTGCTGCGACGGGCTTTGCGAGCTGGTGGCTGGCGACCGAGGGTTGGAAGACGTTGCCGGGCCTCCTTAGGCGTTCAGTCGGCGTGAGTAGGAATTTCATCCAAGGGATGATTGGAAGGCGACTGTGATGGCCTGTTGAAGGGAGTAGCAGACATTGGATATATCGACTGGGTTGAGCGCGTATTCATAAGGATCAAGTAAGTATCTAGGGCAGCTAGGAGCGACTTATACGTATTAGTGCCGGGATTAACTATGCCCGGAAAGAACAATCATCAAAGGCAAAGCACTTCATCATCATAAATTTGCATTATTCCGTCAAGGATTTCTGCATGTCCCACTAAGAGTTAGAAGAGCTGAGGGTGTCCCAGCACATCAGGCTCTGGCTGAAGCTGCCTTACATGGGCCTGACCTGCAGTGGATGGCCTCACGCCAAAGCTCATTTACCAGCTTGAATGTAATCCCAGCCACAGTTAAACATGGGCACTAACAGAGAGAAGCCAGATGCGAGCAGAGCAGGGCTGTTGTGGCTTTGGCTGCATGCAATGCCTTGTTGGCTCAGCGCAAGGCTCTCTCAATCGTCGATCAGCAGAGCAAACAGGATATTTAGCTTTGCACGACCTACACTCGTCACACTTTGCCCTTTCAAATCGATCTTGAACTGCCCCTCCGTGCCTTTGTCGTCATGGAAGTCGCGCTCACGTTCGGGAGCCTAGGCGACATCATACAACTCTGCCAAATCGCCATTCAGCTCGGTCGAGCGGTTGGCGTAGGATGTGGGGCTGTTGGAGAGAGCGTCAAAGAGTACCAGGAGCTTCGCGACGACCTCGATTTTTTTGTGCGCATCTTGACGCAGGTGAAAGCCAACTTTCCAGAATTTCCAAGTAACTTTGCTCACATTGTTCTACCATAGGTCGTCGCAACGTATGAAAAGCACGAGTTAAACTCCTACCTCGCTGGCCTCGACCAAGCAACAAAACACGTTGTCAACCAGACGGCCTCCTTGATACAGGAGGCCCTGGATCATTTCCGGTCAAGATATCAGAGCAGTCTTCGCCCGGAAGGGTCTGGCAGCAAGTTCACAGATTTCCGTAAAAAGGTCGAGTGGTTAAGGGAG